TCATGTTATTTATGAAAGTATATCAATAGTATAACTTTATCATTTCAGTTTTAAATAAACTCTAGTCTATAGAAATAAGTATTGAGGCACAGGTAGTTAGGGGATAAATCCCACAATTTACATTCTTTGTATGAAAACCACAGATTATGTTGAATTGACTTACCTTGAATTTAGTTGCACTGTAAGAAGAGTGTTTCATTTGGATTTTGTTATTAAAATTTCTAGGTCTGCCCAGAAATCTAAGTAGACCTTAGTGGAAAAGAGAAAAACGTGCAGTAAATATTGAGATATACAGCTCATTATTTTCAGCCCGTACTGTATTTGTGGTACAAAAAATTTTAAGGAGTAGCAAAGAGTAGCTAGAATAAAAGCCTTAGCAAAGAACTTACAGGGATGAGGCATCCCAAGGGACTGCTACATTCTTGCTCCATAAATATTCCATGATAGCAATGATACCTTTTTGTGTGATATAATTCATCATTTCAATAATTCATGGTTTTAGTGCATGTGTATAACAACCTCAGGTAAATAATTTACTGCAATTACCAAAAAGGAATGACAATATTTATTAGAACTTTATAAAAATACACTCTGTCAAAAGTAACCTTGAGGCTTGAAATATAATATAAAAAGTCACTTAGAAAAGTAATCAAATGAGCAGCAACGCCCAGTTTATATTAAGCATTTTTGTCTTACTCTGAAGGTGGTTGACTGAAACACAATAAAATAGGTAAATGAGAGAAGACTAAGTCCAACACTAATCTCTGATTAAACCACAGAGCATTTGGAAACTTTCTAGTGACAAATTGCCTTTTGGGTCTAAACCTTCATTCTGTGGATTTTTTTTTCTTTTTTTGGGGGGGAGGGACAGACCCAGCGACGCACAGGGGTTACTCCTGGCTCTTTACTCAGGAATTACTCCTGGTGGTGTTCGGGGGACCATATGGGATGTTGGGAATCAAACCCAAGTTGGCCGCACGGAAAGCAAAGGCCCTACCAGCTGTGCTATCGCTCCAGCCCCCTCTGAATCTTTTTAACCTCTTTAATTACACCTTCATCCATGTAACATTTGCTCACATTGAATTCAGGGGGAGCCGTTTTTCATTTGTGTACATTTTTCTAGCATGTAGACAGATGGTGACTTACAAATATGTACACTACAAGTTATTTTTTAGTTAAATTTCAGTGCAAATTTTGATTTTTTTGGGGGGGGTCACACCCGGCGATGCACAGGAGTTACTCCTGGTTCATGCACTTGGGAATTATTCCTGGTGGTGCTCCTCGGGGACCATATGGGATGCTGGGAATCGCACCTAGGTCAGCTGCGTGCAAGGCAAACGCCCTACCCTCTGTGCTATTGCTCCAGCCCCACTAATTTTGATTTTAATTGTTGTTTTTGTAGTGCCAGGGATAGAATCCTGGTCATCTCACATGCAAGACAAGTATTCCTGTTTTCCTGATTATTGTTTGTTTGTTTTATAATTGAATCACTGTGAATTACAAAGTTACACAGATATTTATGATTGAGTTGCAGGCGTGTATTATTCTAAAACCAATCTCTTCACCAGGACCCTTCACCTTCTACCAGTGTCCCCGGTTGCCCTCCTGTCCCCATCTTGCCTCTGTCGCAGCCACTTTCCCCCTCCCCATTGTCCTGCTGTTCCCTTCTCTAACTTGTCACCCAGACCCCAACCCCAGTGCCAAGCTATTGGAAACCAGTTCTCCTGCTCTTCATTTCTATTGTCATTGGGCATTTGATACTCCCCTATAGTTTAAAAGTCTTTCAAGTTTTATCATCAAAGTTACACAAGTACATGCAATCTCTTCTCAATTTTACAAGACATAGTCGTTAGGAAAAAAAAACAGAATGTCCAGAGTACCTTCCAATGACACATTTTATGTGCCTGTGCAAATGATAAGTTGTTTCATGTTAGTTTTTCCATATTTCACAAATTACTGAATTCCAGAAATGGAAAAATAAACTTTATTTTTTTTAAATTGCTTCTGTCATGCATGCATCTCTTCTCTCCACATTCCCCAAAGAGGTAGGAGAGAGAGAGAGAGAGAGAGAGAGAGAGAGAGATAGAGAGTGTGTGTGTGTGTGTGTGTTACCAATATGTAGAACTTCTTTTGTTATGTCTATATTATATTATGGTTATATTTCCTTTTAGTCAAAATATTTTGTCTTCTTAGGGCCTTTTCATTTCATTGGTGTTCTCTGAACATTATCACTTGTCCAACCACAAACTCCCTTGATTGTGCAAATCTCTCTTAAGTTTGCACTTTAGCTGTCCTCTAGATTTCATCTGTTTGCTCACTCTCGAGAGCATTTATCAGCCTCTTTGTTAAGTTCATGATCCTAGTGTTGTCCTCGTACATCATCACCATAACAATTCACTATTCTCATCATAAACCTGGTGTCTTCGTGTATCTTCCAGAAGTTTATAGTGTGTGAGAAATACATTTTTTGAAATTTTATATAGCTTAACACATCTTTCTTGGTTTGGCTAGTTGTGGAATTCTGGGCAGAAAATCATGTCTTTTCAGAACACTGAAGGAATTGCTTCATTGCCTTTCATTTTTGTTTTTTGAATTTTTTTCCTTGATGAATGTTGTTGGAAGTCTGCCACCCAGGACCCTTTTTCCTCTTTCAATGTACAGGATCTTCCTTTATCTCCAGGTCTGATATCCAATTATGATATGTCATCGTGGAATTTATATTCATTCACATAGCTGCTCACTCAATGGCTCATTTCACTCAAGAACTCAGGCCTTCAACTCTGGGAAAGTGACAAAACTTCTTGATTAGCTTCCTTGATTCATGCTCTTACTCTTTTCTCTTTATAGAACTTTTTTGTTGTGGCTGGAGCAATAGTACAGCCAGTAGGGCATTCGCCTATTTGCCTTGCACACGGCTGACCCGGGTTCGATTGCCAGCATCCCATATGGTCCCCCGAGCACCACCAGGAGTAATTCCTGAATGCATGACCCAGGAGTAACCCCTGTGCATGCCGGGTATGACCCAAAAAGCAAGAAAAAAAATGTTTTTTTGTTCTTTTTTTTTTTCTTCAAACCTTCATAAACTGAGTGATAGTACAGCGGGTAGGGTGTTTGCACACAGCCCACCTGGGACCACCCCGAGTTGGATTTCTCCGCCCCTCTCGGAGAGCCAGGCAAGCTACCAAGAGTATCTCGCCCATACGGCAAAGTTTGGCAAGCTACCCGAGACGTATTTGATATGCCAAAAACAGTAATAAGTCTCACAATGTTACTGGGCCCCCTCAAGCAATCAAACAATAGGACAGTGACAGTGATGCTTTCTTTTATCTCCTCTTCTATTTCCTCTTTTTTTTTTTGCTGATCTCCCTTTAATTTCTGCCCTTCCCTTCTCTCTGTTGATATTGCGATGAAGGGGCATGTACAGGTGGCTGTGGTGCTCAACCTGGGTTGTGCTGTTTAGTGTTGGTGCTTGTGCACGTCCAGGTTGTGTGCCAGGGAGCACTGTGGTGCTCACACGTGCTCATTGGGGCTTTACACTCAGACTGGGTGCTGATGTAACATTTTATTGTATTTTTATTTAATTCATTGATGGTGGTAAAATTTGAAATAATGGTAGTGGGAAAGTGTATGGTGGTGGGATTAGTGGTGGGAATATTGAATGTAATAAATTATTCTGAACAACTCTACAAAAAATTAAATTAAAAATTAATAAAAATAAATAAATAAAGCCTCCTGGTGATATGTGTTGTGTTGGCGTGTGAAGGTTACAGTACTGAGGTGCAAAGTTACTGCGTGCCACCAAAGTGCCCACTATCCTCCGCCACTCTCCTATGTCACCTCTGATTGGGTCTTCACTCCCCTCCATCTCCACTCCCCACCCCTGCATGTCTATAACTTTGCAATCCAAGGGTTTTCATCATTCCATATTGTCTATTCCTTTGTTTTGTCCATGTAAGTCCATAGTGAGTAAGATTATCCATGTCCTATCAGTGAGAATGGCATCTCTTAACAGGACTAGAAATGCCTGTTTTGCCTTTTGAAGATTTTCTGGGTAGGCGTTTAGCTTCCTGTTCTGTTCAGTTCCAGAGTTAGGCAAATGTTCAGGGCAGAAAGCAGTAGCATCCTTACCGCATCAAATCTCCACCCAAACACTCTTGATTTCCCACAGTGAATCCTATAGAGACATATTCCAAATTCTGCAGTGGTACTTGACAAATGACTCAATGTCCAAAGTGGCAGCAGTGTTTTTTTTTTTTTGATTTTTGGGTCATACCTGGCAACGTACAGGGGTTACTCCTGGCTCTGCGCTCAGGAATCACCCCTGGCAGTGCTCAGGGGACCATATGGGATGCTGGGAATCGAACCTGGGTTGGCCGCATGCAGGGCAAATGCCCTACCCGCTGTGCTATTGCTCCAGCCCCAGCAGTGTCAAATTTTTATCAGGTAATAATAATTATCTTCATGATTGTTGTTCTGTCATTTCATTTTAAGATTATGTAACAAAACATTCCTGTAAATATATGGATATTTGTGAATAGTACTATGACTGTTATGCATACATTTTATTCTACTCAATTATATTGATAACAGGTATAATATTTCAGTGTATAAATGTAGAATGCATTAATTGGAAATTATCAGTACTTTAAGAGCACTGATTTTTTCATTGATAACTAAGATTGGAGCTTGACACTTCAAAGTTCTTTCTCTCTCCAGAGTGGCGTTCTCCTGTTCCAAGAAAATACATGTTTGTATTTGTATTTTCTTGGTATTTACCTTATTTACTTGGTCATAACACTAGGCTATTGCTAGCTTCTCTGGAAGCAGAAGTCATCAAGATTGAGTTTTTCATTTTGAAATTCAGGGAATTATTTTGTAATCATTATGGGTTCAATTTTTATTTGGAATGCTAGATTCTGGATTTAGATACAGATATATTTTGCAAGTACAGAGAATCAGTGCTTTGTGAGTTGTTGATCGGTGTATCATTTTCCTTTCAGCATCTAACCTTCACAAGAGAATTTGATTCAGATTCTCTTAGACATTATAGCTGGGCTGCAGACACCTTAGATAACGTCAATCTTGTTTCAAGTCCTGTTCATTCAGGGTAAGTGACTTAAAAGTTCCTTTTCTTTATCCTGTTAACTAACATTACATTTCTTATTTGAAGTAATAAATTTCATTTTCAAAAGATTTGTATATATATAAATTTGACTTTATCAGTGAGTATATGTGAAATATTTCTGTAATCAGTAATTTTTTTAAGCAAATAGGTCCATCTAGTTTTACTGGTAAAGGTAAAGGTAAAGGCCCTCCCGTTGATCGTCGATTTGCTCGAGCGGGCCCAGTAACGTCTCTAGAACACAATATTGAGGATTAATTGTGTTATTGATATAAGAAAATTTTCTAGCTATTCTGTTCTAATTCTAGGTCTATAATTTTTTTCTTTCAGTAAAATTTATAGTCATTTCTCTTCATTTTATTTTCTTTGAAGGAACTTTTCTTCCCCGATTGTTTGATTTTTCTTTCTAATTAAAAACTTAAATATACTTATACTTTTCCTCAATAATTGATTGCTCTCTGCTCCACCTCTAATAACAAAGGAACTTCACTTAAATGTTTAGTTTATAAATAGACTATATAAGTTTATTTAGATGGTATGTGTTGCCAAATATTTAATTTTACTTTTCAGATTTCCTGTAAAAAAGAAAATATGAAACTTCTAAGTAGTCTGGTATATTGGCATGCCTGAAACAAGATAGTTTTATCAAATTCAAATTTACCTAAGAAGTGAATGTACCCATGTAATATATATCTGTCTCAGAAGCACTTTAATATAAACAATGTGAAATGGACTCATCATTGTTTTCTTATTGGTTTGAGACAAGCAAAAGGTGAACCATTGTAATTATAGAATTGATTGTGTATTTTAAAATATTTACAGAATTCTTTATTGTTAGTAATTAAAACTTTGAATAATTTATATCCATACAAATTAAATAAAATTAATGAAATTTTCAAGGTATTTCTTTTTTAATCTCTGAAGTTGACATAAGGCCTTAAATTAGTTGCTATACAATCCAGGTTAAAAAAAAAACAATTAATTTGAAATGATAATTAGCTATTTTGGAGTGTTATCGATTTGAAGATTTTTTGCTACTTTTCATTAAAATGCATTATGATAGTTTACATTTACCAAATGCTTTCATGTACCTGGCATTATGCTAAAATCTTTCATTTGTATTTTTTAAATATTTATTTGAACCTTCAGTCTTTGAGAATGATTTTACTCATTATTTCCACTTCTTTCATTATCCATTTACATATGAAAATTCCTAAGATTTAATAATGCTGGAGACTTATATAATAATTCTGAACAGTTATGTAAAGAAATTTCTGTAGTTTTTTTATAACAGTGCTTTGGAAATTATAAACTATAAAATGATCTTTGAGTCAACACATTTTTTACCTCAGAGGAAATTTTATTTTAATGCTATTTTTTAAATGCTTAAGATTTAAAATTACTAAGAGCAGTAGGGCGTTTACCTTACACGAGGCTGACCTGGCCGAGCTGGGTTCGATTCCTCCGCCCCTCTTGGAGAGCCTGGCAAGCTACCAAGAGTATCTCGCCCGCACGGCAAAGCCTGGCAAGCTCCCCGTGACGTATTCGATATGCCAGACACAGTAAGAACAAATCTCACAATGGAGACATTACTGGGCCTGCTCGAGCAAATCGATGAACAACGGGAGGACAGTGACAGTAAAGTACTATTTGTATCAGGTACATATGAGTCTATGCGTACAAAAGCCATAAGATAAAATCAGCATTGAGAAGAAAATGTGAAACCAGATGAGCAATTCAGTGTCCATTTGTGAAAAGTTCTTGAATCATTCCTGCTGAACTGCCACCATGGTACAGCCATCTAGAACACTTTGTGCTCTATCTAGAAAAGAAAAGTAGAAGGGTTTCACTTAGCAAATAAAAGTTGAGGGAGCATTGGATATTAGAATTACAAGTGAACAGTCTCATACTTGAGAGAACAATGAAATATTTGAATATGTCAGTTATCTCTCCTTCTCTTGAACTTTTTGGAGAGAGACATGTGCAAGAAAGCGAAAGTAACAGGTAAGTTGGAATTGTTTGAAAAGGCAGATATAGACTTGGTATTCACTTAGAAATACTTCCCTACTGCCAGATTTGTGGTGTAGAGTACATAATCATTTAAAACTAATATTTTCCAGGCCCGTCTCACGAATGTGAAATGCATTGATTTCATTTTTTATTTTTCCTTTGCTTATCATTGGCATTTTCTGTTGCTGGCTTCTAATTACCTTGCATTAATTTTTTCCATTTGCTTTCTAAATTATTTTGCAGCTATTCTTCTCCACTCCCACAATATGATTCAAGGTGATATTTGTGTCCTTTATGTGCCCCATCCTTTTTGTATTTTTAATTTATGTGAATTTTCTCCACAGTTAGATCATGTAATATTTGTAGTATGTCAGCATTTGTCATTCACTATTCCTTAAACTAGTAGTAACATTCATTTGTTAGTTTTGGGATCATGTGTAGAATTCGGGTTTAGTTGAAATACATTTAATATGCGACTATGATTCAACATCATCTTTTAATTTGTATAAGTTATAGTGCATGAAATTTTATTTTGCATAGACTGCATAATGAATGGGTTTGGAAAACAAGTTTCTGTAATTCTAATGCCATTAAATAATAAGGCACAAATTCTGCTTAACATTAACTTTTTCCACAGTCTTTTGGATCTATAATATTTTAATACTGTGGGGTAGTACATGATTATTTATGAGCACTAATCATGCACAGAGTACTAAGCAGAACACAGAAGAAAAAAAATCAGTGGCCAAGAGATACAGTACAGGGGTTAAGTTTCTCGGCTTACATGCAGCTGACCCTGGTTCAATCGTAGACGGCGTAAGGTCCCCCAAGCACTACTTGGTATTCACTTAGAAAGTGAGTGACTAAGAGTATCCCACCACCACGTGTGTCTCCAAAATCAAATAAAAATATATACTCTCTTACTTTGTCTTTAAAATCATCTTAAATTCTAAAAAATCAGCTAATTTTATCCAAGTCCTGACATTCTTTGGAGATGGCATATTTTTATAGCTTCTTTCAAGGCTGCACAGCTCAAGTTTTTAAAATATATGCATATATCTGCATGTCATATATACACATTACTATTAAGCAAGTCTTAGTCTAGGCTGTTTCTAAGTACATTTACAAATACTTTTGTTCACCAGTTTTATTCAGTAAATACTTATTGTGTACTTGTGTGCAGGAACTGTGCCCCGCTCTGCAAGCCAGGCAGTGGAGACAGATTTCTTCTGAATTGCTGTCTGTATTATTGAGATTTAGTGGTTTGTTGCCAGGGCAAACACTGCCCTCTCAGTGCAAACATTCCCGTGTTTATTTGTACTAATACAATGGACTTTTCAAGCTCAGGGTTCGTCTCGAGTCATTTTAAATCTATTCTCCTGCTTGTATTTCCACTTGCAAGATTTTATCCTTGAAATGCTGAGAAATACCCACTTTGTCCTACTCTTCTTTACAATACTACATATTGCATTTGTGAGGGAGTAAAAATCGTGATTGAACATGTATCTAAGATCTCCCCATAACCTGTTCTGTTGAGTCTTGCATCATCAAGTTTTAGAAACAGCTCGAGAAACTTACACAGGCTAACATGTGTCTGTCTTTGAAGAAGGAGGAGTAAATTTTTCTGTTCTGAGGGCATCAGTCCTTTTCCAATATTTAGTGATTTCCTTCTAAAAAGTAGACTATTATAGGGGCTGGAGTGATAGCACAGCGGGTAGGGCATTTGCCTTGCACGCAGCCAACATGACTGACACAGGTTCGATTCCCAGCACCCCATATGGTACCCTGAGCACCGCCAGGAGCAATTTCTGAGTGCATGAACCAGGAGTAACCCCTGAGCATCGCCAGGTGTGACCCAAAAGGCAAAAAAAAAAGTAGACTATTATAAAAAATATTTTAATTCAGAGGAATGTGGCTAAACCTAAGATAAGCAAAAGGGTGTGAAAGTGCTGGTGATCATAGTTGGTTCTGAAATTGAATGAACTGAAAAATTGTCCCTTACCTACTGCCTCTCAAGATGGGCTAGCGGGTGAATCTGCTCTGTGGGAGAAGTTTCTCTTCTTAGACCTAGTGAATCTTTAGACTGGATCTTCATGCAAGGTGCTAAAATCTATTTGTAGAAAGATCGAACTACTTTTAGGTGAATTAAGAGTAGAGAATTTAGTTTTCCTTGCCCCTAAAGAGTAGAGGATTTTAATAGATAAATTTTCTCCACAATAACAACAACCAAAATGCTGTAGGTGTTCAGTATTCCTGCCATCAGCATTTGGTTCAGTTGAGTAACAGGTACATTTGCACATCTGAAAAGATACATATTTCTGTATCTGTGTTACTTGTATGCTTCCTCTGTCAGGCTTATTGGTTACCTTCTCTAGAGGGCTTCCTTGGTAACACTGACAGGGCATGGAGGGTGGGGTGAGTGGAGCTTCACAAGAGGGGGGATTTTTTTTTTGTTACCATGAGCACATAATAGAAAGCAACAATTTCAGTATGATCTTACCAGATAGGACAATCACTTTCATACCTACATGTAAAGTATTTTCCTCATTACATGCAAATTGCCTTGTTTATTGCCTTATAGAGTGCTGAGGACTCGGAACCATGTGCAGTCAGAGTAAACCCTGAGTACTCATATGCAAAGCCTGTGCTCCAGTTCTTTGAGCCATCTCTCCAGTCCCAATTTGGAGACATTTAACAAGAAAAAAAAAGAAAAAATCATATATATATGTATAATTTTTCAGTCACAAAGAGATTATATGCATATATATGTATATTTACTGTAGGTGTTCATATATATACACACATATTTGTATAATCAAAATTTGAAGCCATCATGGTTCCTTCCATTTGAGTATCCATTTGAGCATTCCTTTTGATATCCATTGGAGTATCCTTCCATTTGAGTATTCCTAACAGAGTATCTTGTGTTAGGAAGCCACATTCCACCATGGATTGGTCACGGTCCTCCCGTTATTCTTCGATTTGCTCAAGCGGGCCCAGTAACATCTCCATCGTGAGACTTGTTGTTACTGTGTTTGGCATATTGAATACGTCACGGGGAGCTTGCCAGGCTTTGCCGTGCGGGCGAGATACTCTTGGGAGCTTGCCGGGCTCTCCGAGAGGGGCGGAGGAATCGAACTCGGGTCGGCCCCTCCACCATGGATATAAATAAATAAATATATATAGATATGTGTGTATGTGTATGTGTATATTTATAGTCTTTTTGTGATTGATAAATACAGAAAGTGAACATTAAGTTTTGGGGGCCTCACTCAGCAGTGCTCAGGGATTACTCCTGGTTCTGTGCTTAGGAATCACTATTGATGGTGCTCAGGGTTCCATATGGGGTTCCAGGGATTGAACTTGGGTTAGCTGTGTGCAAGGCAAATGCTCTACCCACTGTTCTATCTCTCCAGCCCAATTCAAGTAATTTTTAAACCAAAGTTATACTAAAAATATTAAATCTTTCCATCAAAATTGTCATAATACAATTATTAATCTTCTGCTTTTATTTTTATATTCTGGTTTGTAATAATAAAAGTTAGAATGTATATGACACATTCTATAGTCAGCACCTGGCTAAAACCATTTAGGGCTGGAGCGATAGCACAGCGGGTAGGGCGTCTGCCTTGCACGCAGCCAACATGGCCGACCCGAGTTCGATTCCTCCGCCCCTCTTGGAGAGCCCGGCAAGCTACCGAGAGTATTCTATATGCCAGACACAGTAACATCAAGTTAAAAGAATATAATATAATATATAATAATATAACATTAATCACCTACAAAGTGCACATAGAGCAATTTTAGTTTTTAAATATGTCACAGTTCTTGAGTAGCTCTTTTTTTTTTTTGCTGTTTGGGTCACACCCAGCAATGCACAGGGGTTATTACTGGCTCAGGCACTCAGGAATTACTCCTGGCAGTGCTCGGGGGACCATATGGGATGCTGGGACTCAACCCGGTTCGGCCGCGTGCAAGGCAAACGCCCTCCCTGCTGTGCTGTCGCTCCAGCCCATTGAGTAGCTCTTTTTAATTCCAACTTTGAAACCATCCTGGCTCCTTCCATTTGAGTATCTAAGAAATGGCTGACTTCCATTTGGAAGCCACGTTCCACCGTGGATAACTTGCCCTGTTCAGTTTTCCCCAGTGCACAAGTGAAATGCATGCATGATGTGACTCTTCTGTATTTCCTTCCAATTTATTTTTAGATAGAAGGAATGGTAGTTCCATTGTCATTTTAGACTTCACAACTGTTTTCGTTTCAAAACCGCCCTGACTAGAGATGGTTTGTTTCCGTCCTTGATTCAGCCTCTGTTCTCCTGCAGGTTTCTGGTTAGCTTTATGGTGGACGCCAGAGGGGGCTCCATGAGAGGAAGCCGCCACCATGGGATGAGAATCATCATTCCTCCACGGAAGTGCACGGCCCCCACCCGCATCACCTGCCGTTTGGTAAAGAGACATAAACTGGCCAACCCACCCCCAATGGTGGAAGGAGAGGGATTAGCCAGTAGGCTGGTAGAAATGGGTCCTGCAGGGGCCCAATTTTTAGGGTAAGTTATTTTATCAATTTTTATCTTGGCCCTCATAGCACATCTTTGATTTTCTTTACCCTGCTTAACTCCAGAACTTAACTGTCTAACAGCCTTGTTGGGCCGTTTTGAATACCCCTTTGGTGGCACATACGAAGTCAGAAGGCTGTGTCACTTCATGGGAAGCTACAGACCTTTAACTCATCTTGCTGGGCAAAGCTTCTACTAACCCAGATGCATGTTGTCTGCTCAGTGAGTGCACGGAGCTTTAGCAAGCCCCAGAGCAGCTATTCTCAGGGAAAAAGACAAACGCTCGGTGATAACATCACACTAAACAAACGGCCACTACGTGTCCATGTCATCTAAAAGATAATTTGAGGGAAGCAACGTGTAGGCATCTAGTGTCTGTAAGAAGGAAAACGTCCCGTTGAGCTCAATTTTCTGAGGTGGCACTTGGGTGACAGGTCAGGCAGGCTCTGTCACGACTGACAGTTTGTTTACAATTTCCCCTTCTTGTTTCTCTTCCTGCTGCATGGATTTTATTCAGTAAACTGCATCTTCCCACCAATCCTCCCCCTGTAAATGAGGGTGAGAGCTTGGTTAGCCGAGTCCTGCAGCTTGGGCCTCAAGGAACAAAATTTATTGGGTAGGATCTTTATAGACAAGATACAGAATGTCTACAACTCTCCTTCCATTTTCAATTTTTTTCTGTCACACCCATGGCCTTTATTCTTGTCTTAGCTTTATGTTGACCTTTTCAGTTTTTTGATGCTTTCAGTTGATGTGTGTGACTGAAAGAACGAAAAATATCATAGTGGCTTGACGTAGCATCGCAACCTCTCTTGTGCTTTTCAAGCATGTGGAATTCATGGCAAGCATTCAGCTTTCATACCTCTGTGCTCCTTGTAAACCTTTCTTTAATTTGAAACGTTTCGACTGGATACTATTGTTTCTAAGACCAACTGGCAGCCTAATTTTAATCCTTTGCAAGAATAAATATTTCTAGTCTTCGAATTAACATTTGCTATAAATGATACATATGTCTTTGTATACATGTCCATATAGATATGCCTGCTGTGTATCTATATGTGTGTAATTATATATTTAAAAATTCCAAGTACTAAATAATCTTCATGGGCTTTGAAAAGGAAAGCTCATCAATGAGTCAATTGATTTTGAAAAATGGTGGGAATACAGACATTCAAAAAAAATTTAATAGGCAGCAGGTAGAATATTCTACTCAAGTGATTAAACTGTTTTGTTTTGTTGAAGCTGAGATGTGTTGGTACTCGTTGTTTGCTTCTCTGTTTGAGGGTTCTGTTTCCCTTGGCAGTCTGCATGAAGACACCTGTAATGAAAACCTATGCTCGGCTTTCACCTTGTTCTGACACCCTTGGCCATACCTTTTTTTCCAGTATTATTGTTGAATGTCATACACAAAACTACATTCCTTAAATGTTTACACAGACAGTATCTGATACATTAACCTGCAAAGATTGTATCTAGTTCTTTTTTAAAAAAAGAATTTTGAATTCTCAGGTGTGGTTAAAATTTATAAAAAAATTTCTTAATGACTGTTCAAGATTGATTTGTTTTCATTTCAAAAATGAAAACGTTATGACATTTTAAGAATTCTTAGTTTGGATTATAATTACTTTGCCAAAAAATCACCATATTTGTTAACCCATTTTTAAATGGATGCTTTCACTTTTTTGATAATAAGTCAGATATTCATGTTTGTTATTTGTTAATCATTGCAACTCTTATCCCTTTTCTGCTTATAAACACAGAAATTAAGAGGTAAGATTGCATACAACCTCTGTAGGAAAATAATGATACTGTCTATTTAAATGTAATAAAATAAAGCTGCACAATCCAACTACATAAACCGTGTGTGATTGTGGTCTGTTCACTTCCTTTCATCTCTTTTAGCATTTTAGCGTTCAATTTTGAAAATTAACAATATGATTCCATGGCTTGATTGACCCTATTCAGTTTATAGCCATTCTTTCACATTTGTTTGCAAAAGGACACTGTCAAAAATTAGTATGTTGTTACACAGTAATTTCAAACCAACAAGTGCTTTTTCAGAAAGTTTAAGTATTTCTATGCAGGATATGCTAGAGTTAGGAAATTAAACTTCCCACTACTGTTTTACAAATTAAAGATCAGAGAAACTGTCTTTACTATATATAAGCCATGAAAGTAATGGAAACTATCAGAGCAGATGTTACATAGATTGTTTTGCGTTCTTTGTTAAGGGGAAATAATCAGTAACTATTTCAAAATAGGAGAGTTACAGACTATTTAAAAAAATTAAATGACTGTGTCCTTTTAAAAATGGACCAACTTCTTAATGGTCGATTTTTAATAGCTTCCAACCCTTTAATTCAAATTTCCTGTTTATATGCTAAATATCCCTTCCCTCCTCTTTGCCCTGCCCACCATTTAACCCAATGCCTAACGTATAGTAGGTTCTTAGAATTGTTTTTGAATGAATGAATGATGGCATGTTCTCAGGCTTTAATATATAATTCAAATAGTAAATGATTATGCAGCTTTGAAATCATTCCCAACCTTAGTGGCACCTCTGATTTTCAAATGAGTACTATAACTGGAACTTTCTTAAAGCATGACAGTATAGATAAGACATAGAGGTATCTCTTTATATTTGACTTAATACCAAAATATTGTGGATTTTTTTTCCAGCCCTGTCATAGTGGAAATCCCTCACTTTGGCTCTATGAGAGGAAAAGAGAGAGAACTTATTGTTCTTCGGAGTGAAAATGGTGAAACATGGAAAGAGCATCAATTTGACAGTAAAAATGAAGATTTAACTGAATTGCTTAATGGAATGGATGAAGGTAATTATGACAGCTTTGTGCTTCTGTATGTCTTTTGGAACTCAAAGGAATGAATGACCCGAAGAAACAGTGCTTGATTTTCACACATGAAATTTAAGTTGTGATTTGACTCGAGTTTCATTGCTTATTTCATTTCATTCAATAAATACTCGAGTATTTATTGCTATTTTCTGCATTTAAGATTAAGTTGCATTTAATCTAACTCCTTTTTACTCCCACACATAGTGTATAATAGTCTAATGGTTCTTTTTTGAATTTTTGATCAAATATATCATTCTTTCCAATATCCAGGAACGTATTCTAAGGGAAAAAACGTGTAAGGAGGGTGAAATAATAGTGGAAAGAATGCAAAGAATGTAGAGCATTTTTAAAAAATATGTTCACATTTTCTTTCTGGAATTACTATTTCCAGACTTTTCCTTTCTAAATGAAATGGTTTTCTCCCAGATTATTTCAGTAGTCTTCATTAGTACTTAATTTCTCTTGGGCTATGATCAGCTTTTAAAAATAATATTTAGTTCAATCATTGAAACCTATGGTGCTTCATTATCTTACTCTGACTTGGTAGGACCGACACATAGATGAACATGTTCACTTTTTCATACACCAGCTCAGGTTATATGATCCCTAGAATCATAGAATTTTTTTCTTTTTTTCTTTTTACTTCTTTATTTTGTTTTTTGGGGTCATACCCAGCAATGGTTTGGGGTTACTCCTGGCTCTGCACAAAAGAATTACTCCTGGCGGTGCTTAGGGGACCATCTGGGATGTTGGAGATCGAACTCAGGTCAGCCTCATGCAAGGCAAATGCTGGACTATCGCTGCAGACCCTAGAATTTTTTTCTTAGTAGACACTGGAAATAGATTTAAGAGTAGGGATGTGATACAGAATTTTCCTTTGAAAATATATGGTGAGGTTTGCCATAAAATACAAATTGTCGTAATGCTGATATCCTGATTACAAATTTATTTCCTATTCTAAATAACATTTTTATTTGAGGTATAATTCACAAACTGTAGAATTCACTCTTAGCATTTGAGTCTCTGGGTTTGGGAATACATCTAACATCTAAAAGTGTTTCTCACACTTTGAACAGAAGATCTGAGCAGACACAGGGGTGTTTGGGGGATGATACAGCAAGCCTTTGATCCCTGTGAGCCATTGTTACTTTTATAAATGGAGAGTACCTTCCTTTTTAGGGTTTTGTTGAGAAATAATTATGCAGATGGATACTTGTATAGCCTTTACCACATAGTAAAACCATGGAAAATATCAACTTATGTCACTATTAGAGTTAGTCTAGAGAAAAAGTTTTCATGCCAAAGGTTTTGTATAAGACACAGTTAATCACAACCAATGTAAAGATGCCTTTATGGCAAGCTTAAGGGGAAACTATATGATTATGATTGTTGAGTGTATCATATTCATAGACACTCATGATAAAAAGACTTTATCGACTTCAAAGTTAGACAAAGTATTGCAAATCAAGGGTGGTTTAAATCCCACTTTTAAATCAGAAGGTTTAGATTCAGAGAAGGCAATTGACAAGTTGCAAGCAGTCCTGGAGTTGAAATTGGTACTCTTTGCCTTTAAAGACGCTTAACTGTAAATCCCACTTATATTAGAAATGTGTCCTGTGGAAAAGAAAATAAATCTAAAGAGAAAAATTCTTGCAAATCTCAATATTTAAAAACTCAACATATCTTCACATTTCTTAAGTACACATTAAATGTTTAGACATACAGATATTATATCCATCTACAACTTACCATGATTTCTAATGAACAGGGACGTCCAGTAATAATTAGCATTTCTGTTTTTTATTACACACACTTACTCTAAAGCATGAAATACAGTAAATATAGTAAATATAGAAATATAGTAAATATAGAAATATAGTAAATCTCCTATAAGGAAGTTTATAAGAAAACACAGTAAATATAAAGAAATTAATCCAAATAAAGCAAATCACTGGGCTGGAGCGATAGCACAGCGGTAGGGCGTTTGCCTTGCACACAGCCAACATGGCCGACCCGAGTTCGATTCCTCCGCCCCTCTCGGAGAGCCCGGCAAGCTACCGAGTGTATCTCACCCGCACGGCAGAGCCTGGCAAGCTCCCCGTGACGTATTCAATATGCCAAACACAGTAACAACAAAGTCTCCAATGGAGACGTTACTGGGCCCGCTCAGGCAAATCGATGATCAATGGGAGGGCCTTTTTAAAGCAAATGGAATTGATATATGTAAAAATAATGAAAGGATAAAGATGATTTGGTATAAAAATAGAGAATAAGAGAACAAACTCCACTGAGGACTTTTTAAATAAAATTATGAACATACTTTTAAGAATCCATTTAACATGCCAAATACAGACTTAGTGAAGTTTTTTAATGCAGCTTCTGCTACATAAAGATTTTTTTTTTGAGTGCCTACTACTTTGATACTCTAAGCTCATTTCATCAGTGTTCATGTCTAATCATCATGGACCCATCAATATTAGGCACACTGCTGATACACGCACTCACCCATTCCCCTGGGAAGTGGGTAGAAGGAAAAACTTCAATATAATACTAGCCACTGGAGGAAAAGTTTCATTAGTCTCTCTCCTTTACCCCTGAACTTCATTAATGGCAATCACCTGGAGAAAAAAAAGTAACGAGAAACATTTACTTTAAGAAGTCATGAAAGTTGCCTATAAATGGATGGACATGGAGAGTATCATTGCTGAGTGAAATGAGTCAGAAGGAGAGGGATAGTTACAGAATGACTGCATTCATTTGTGGGATATAAAGAAATATAGTATGACTATTATTCAAGGCCAGGGAAAACAGGGGCCAGGAGGATTGGTCAACGGTTATAAATTACCATAAGCATAGTTAAGATGGGGGGGGGGTGTCCAATATAACAACAGTAGTTGGAAATGGCCACTCTGGACAAGAACTGAGTGTTGAAAGTAGGTAAAGGGATATACATGACACCTTTCAGCATCTATATTGAAAACCATAATGCCCAAAATGAGAGAGAGAGAGAGAGAGAGAGAGAGAGAGAGAGAGAGAGAGAGAGAGAAAGAAGAAGTGCCTGCCATAGAGGCAGGCTGGGGTGGGGAAGATTTGGAGGTTGGTGGGAGAGAAACTGAACACATTGGTGCTGGGAAATTACACTGGGGGAAGGGTGGGTGTTGAAACATTGTATGACTAAAACCCAATCATGAGCAGCTTTGCAATGCTCTATCTCACAGTGATTCAATTGAAAAAAAATCCTTGAGAAAATAACAGTAATCCAAGAAGAGTGCCCACTCAGCTGAATGTTTCATCATGATGGAAATAGTCTCTAGCCAAGTTATCTGATAGAAATCACTGGTCATGTGATTCATGAGCACTTGAAATGTAATTTGTGCAACAGAGAAAGGTGATTTTAAATTTTGTTTGATTGTGATTAATTTTAAATTGCCATATCACTGGCCAGTGAGTATCTTATTGGACACTGCAATTTTAGCAAGAACACTGAATATTTTTAAAACGCTGTCTTTATTTCCAAGTGAATGTTATTAGCCTGCCCTGTCAGGTGAGTAGAGTTGTTGTTGTTGTTGTTGTTTATTTTAGATTTATTTTGGATATACTTCCACGATACTATGCTGACATATCTTCACTGCGTCTTTAGTAAACCAATTTTTAAATATGAACTAAGTCATATGTTTTCTTAAAGGATACTCTGGATACTGCCATATGGATATTTCAAACATTTTCAAGAAACAATAATATAAACCAGTTTTATAGTCTTTGTGTTAGCCTGGAAATAGTAGCCTTTCTATAATACATGTTTTAAAGACCAGATACATTTTTTATTCCATTTTAAATAATCACAAAGAAATATAAATAGTGCCAGGCATAAGAATCAAACACCAAAAGCCATTCTTGCTTTAAAAAGGAGAGATAGTGACTTTTTTGATTACTAAATTTAAAAAAAAGAACATGAAACAACCACTACACCCATTTTATGGGACAGCCAGTATTCATACCAAGCCCAGACCTAACTTACTGCCATTCTTCTATTAGCTTTCATTCACATTGGAGCATTTCTCTCCAAAATAGGTCAAAATGAAAATGTATCTTTAAAAAAGCCCGTCTTCCATTTTCTCCCTAAGGTTCAACTTGACAAAACTCCTGTGGGGAAGGGTCCCGCAGCACAATTTAGGAGATTTCACATATCCTCCACTTCCCCCTGTCTCCCTTTTCTTTCTCTAATTCATAACAGTTAAGCTACATCGTCCTTGGCAAAAGCCCTTTGAAAATGCCTCTCATTCTAAATTTCTCCCTTTTAATAGCCCTCTTCATAAAAGAGTTCTATGATCTATTTTGTAATTATTCTGTGTGGCCAGTCGCTGAGTCCCCTCCTCAATGAAAATCTTCAAACCCAAATTTGAAAAATTACCTTAACCAATATTGTGATTTCTCATTTTTCTAAATAGCACAACTGTAATCTTGGGAGATAACGTAGAAGGTTGGAGTGCGTGCTTTGCATCTGAGGGGCCTGGGTTTGATCCCCAGTGCCACATCTTCTGAACATATATAAAGGCCCTCCCGTTGATCGTCGATTTGCTCGAGCGGGCCCAGTAACGTCTCCATTGGAGACTTTGTTGTTACTGTGTCTGGCATATCGAATACTCTCGGTAGCTTGCCGGGCTCTCGGGGAGGGGCGGAGGAATCGAACTCGGGTCGGCCATCTTGGCTGCTTGTAAGGCGAACGCCCTACCCGCTGTGCTATCGCTCCAGCCCCTTCTGAACATAATGAGCCACAAAACTGTAAAGATTAGGGGCATAGCGGGTAGGGCGTTTTTGCCTTGCACGCGGCGGCCAACCAGGGTTCGATTCCCAGCATCCCGTATGGTCCCCTGAGCACTGCCAGGGGTAATTCCTGAGTGCAGAGCCAGGAGTAACCCCTGTGTATTGCTGGGTGTGACCCGAGAAACAACAAAAAATACCCTCTAGAGATTAAATTA